TGAATATATATATATATATATATATATATATATATATAGTTTTCTCTGGATCCATTATTTTCCTTTCCTCCATCTACCAACAAAGAAGAACAAAACGCTCCCAACCCGCTCACAAATGCATCCCTTGCCTACCTTGGCAATGGTTTCATGAAGTTTGAAAAAAGGATCCATTTCTTCAATTTTTGTTGCATCTTTAGGGAAAAGGGCCTCGGAGAGAAAACTTGGATCCTGTGGAAAGGAGAATAAAACATTTAAAACTCTTTATTGATTTTGTTTTTCAAATGCTTATTGAATTTTCTTTAAAGATTCAAAAGGACTCTAAATTGCTTTAAGGTTTCTGTTGATTGCTGAACTTCATTCTGCTGATCTAATTAACCAATCAGAACATTTCTAAATTAAAATGAGTAGAAATCTATGACTTTTGACATTATTTGTATCTATAAAAGAATGTGGGGCTCTTTCCTCAGAAGAGATCATTCTTTGCAGTTCTTCCCCCTTTTCTAAATGCAGGCTTATATATAGAACAAGATACTTTGACTATAACACCCACATCTGAAACCCCTTTTCTAGTTAATATATTAAACTTTAAGTCTGACAGAATAGGATGTTTTTAATCAACATGAATACCAAGAAGAGCCTAGGCAAAAGTGTGCACGATACTTTACACATTGCAAAAGTCACTTCAAAAGAATTAGTAAGATACACTTTTAATTTTTTTAAATGTTTTATTGATTTTAGAGAGAGAAGGGAAAGGGAAGAAGGGAGAGAGAGCAAGAGTGGAGGGAGAAACACCGATGTGAGAGAGAAAGCCAGGTTTGTGCCCTGACCAGGATTTAAATCAGCAACTTTGGTGTACAGGGCAATGTGCAACCAGCTGAGCCACTCCGGCTTGGCTTGCATCCTTGGGAGAGATAGATTTCTCTTAAATATCAGATGCACAATATGTGATTATAAATTATGTCACAGCCAATGAGCTGGATTCCTGGAGGAGGCTCAGGGAGGAGCCACTATGGATGAGGGAAAGGCACTCCTGGGGCTCAAGCCGTAGCTATTTACCAACTCAACTAACATGCCTCACTTATAACTGGCTCAGCTCCAGTGGTGCACTCTGGCTGCACATGGGGTAGGGCGGGGGCAGACCCGATGGCACAACAACTAGGGCTCTGTGTATATAGCTACATCACTGAAAATGCAGCACTTCCACAAACAAGTTTGCAAGGTCGAAAAAGAAAAATAGGTATTCTCAGATCTTGGAAGGAGAGAAGTTTTCTCAAAAAATGAGGAATTCAGACTTGAATGTGGTCTTTAGTAACACAAAGTCTCTCTGGTTAGGTATCCAGTCAGTTTAGCCACAGCATTTCTTTGAGGTCAGAGCCTGTTAGCCTCCAAAAAGCTTTCCGTGGAACAGCCAGTGCTTTTCTCAGGCCTGTATTTAATCAACTGTGAAAGAAATGAGAAATTTAAAGTCTTCCAGTTAAGGGCAAAAGAATCTAAACATCAGGTTAAGAAGAAACAAATACATTATTCAAATCCTGAGAGACGTAGTCCTTCAGCGTTCCTTTGCTGGAAATAGGAAGAGATTTCCTTTATAGTCATGACCTCATGTTTCATAGTCTGGGTGAAAACACACAGGGAAATTAAACCTGGGGCATTAGCCTTTCTGAAATTCTAGCACCCACTGAATTACTTTTATTATTATTTTCAAATCTTGTTTGGGGGGTCAAATAGTAAGCCTAATGAGGGTAAAATTGTTGAGAAACGAGAGGAGCACAATTCCACAAACGGTTAGTTTAAATCCCTCCTAATCCTCCCCATGTCCCTTCTCATCACCCACCCCATTGGCATTTCATTTAACAACATGTGAGTGACTTCACTTTAATACAGTCAGATATCCCTCAGCAAGTTTTGTCTTTCTATTCTTGTTACTTCTTACTAAAAGACAAATGAAAGCCCTTGTTTAACTGTGTATCCCAGGAAACACAGGTAGATTTAATTTCAAGGACTGAAAATAATTTCCGGAATATCTTAAGTTTGGGGTAATGTTTTCCTTTAGCTTAAATGCATTCATTTTAATCATTCATTCTATTTATTCATTTGAAAATCAATAAAGAAACCAAATTAACTCTGCAATTCACTAAAGCAAAATTCTCATTTAACTGAATAAATAGGTGTTAAAGAAAAGAGTCCCAGTGGGTAAGACATGTATGGCTGCATTTGTCTCTTGATAGAAGACTCTAGAGGCTATACCAAGATTGACTTCAAAAAATTATCCGGCCTCCAAAACAGAATAGACTATTTCCATTGTGAATTAAAAATATAAAAAAATATGCTTTTAGTTGATTTCTGAGACTATCTTAATTTTCTTTTGAGAATAATCAGTTATCTCAATTTTCCCAAGTCCTCATTTAAAGACAGTGAAATTAAAAAGACATTGATGTTCTACTTTTCAAACAGTGGGTCACTTCTGATTAAGCTTCGATTGAACATTAAACCTTCAGACTTAAAACAAATTGCCTCCTTTTTCTTTTTAATTTGGACCCAATTTTCTTCTGCCCTCAGGTCACTTGATGGTAATTAATTGATTTATGAACCAACTTAAAGAAAATGCAAATTAAAAAAGAAAAACTGTTGTGTTTTTTTAAAAATTTATGACTAATATTTTAGAAATGACTCAATCTCTCTCAAGGTATATATGTTCATAATTTAGCAAATATCACATTTATAAGGTATTTTTAGCAATGCTGAATGCTCAGATTTAATTTCATTTTAGGTTATTTATCATTTGCCTCTGAGGAAGAGTTCTAATCAAAGTTACCACATCACACTCTATAATAATTAAGTTATTCCATTGTGATTTGATAGACTATCCAAATCTAAAGAGCGGCAGTAATTGTCACCAGTCTCTCAACACAGGCAGTACAGTTCACTAAGTTAAATGGGATTTTTGGGCCTCAGTATGAATTCTGATTCTCTTTACTATGGTGACTTTGAACATGCACTTTAGCTTTCTGATGCCAGTTTCTTATGTGTGTTATTGGAATTTTAATATCATGTATTAAGGGTATTATTATGTGTTATGATTATATTTATGCATTAATGACATATCTTAATAATATTTATAGTAATAATAGTTATATGTTATTATTCAGTACAATTAAATGAGATAAGCAAAACAGAATGCTAGCTGGCACATAGCAGCTGCTCAATAAATGCTAACACTTATTATTTTTATATTAATGGGTTTTATAAAACTCTCTATTCCCAGTGCTCAGTATTTCAAATATATTAATAAATGTCTGTTTATTTGAATTTAATATCTTTGAATCTTTGTCAGAATAATACATGATAAAAATTCCATTAAAAAGAAAAAGTTGTCTTTTTTATTACTCAAGAATGTTCAGAATATTTTGGAGAATTTTATAGCATCATTTGAGGATTAAAAGCAGCTAATAATAATAGCAAATAATAATAATAATATATTATAAGACCAGTAAGCAGGAAGACATGGGCTTACAATGTGTGACCAAACCATCACAGCCACCTGTGTGGTCACAAGTAAATGTCTTTAATATCTTCCCTTTTTCCCCTCATCAGCAACAGTTAAACAAATGTTTATTGAGCTACATGTTATTATTTATCCTTGCACAAAGAAGAATAAAATACAGTCACTGACACTGAGAAGCAAATGAGAAGACATGAAGCTATAAATACATGGAAATGTGTATGAATGTGTGTGTGCATGTTTTTCTGTAGAGAGAGAACTAAAGGCAGAAAATGTACATAAGCACATGATCTAGAAAGATATATGCACACACATATGTATACAGTAACAGTATATTCACATGTACAGGTATATATGTTATATAAATACGTGCATGTTTGTTTATGAAGAAATAGCTTTACTCAAAGTAAATGATAAGACAGAGGCAATCACAGGGTGCTAATCCCAAATAATGGGTTGGGGATTCAGGGAAGGCATCCTGAAAAGAATACTTTCTGAGCTTAATTTTGAAAGGTAAGATGTAGTCTGGAAAAGCAGACAGATGAAGAACTCCTTGCTTTGTAGCTGGATACTCTAAGAGTTTGGTGTTAATAAGCTAAAATGTTGAACAATGGCAGGGAAATAAAGTAATGAAAGATCATTTATAATTTTAATACACCATCTAAAGGTTTGGATTTTATTTTGAAGATAATCGGGAGACATCTTTACGTTTTTAAACAGGGAGTGAGGAAGTTTGATTAGTTATTTCAGTGGCATCCTAGTTGTAAGTTCTATGATTTTATCATGGGTATAGTTGTTGAAAGATTTCTTTTCAAAATAGTTTGTGTATATAAACTCACTCTAAGATACATAACAGAAACCCATAGCCATATATATTTACTACTTTTATAAAGTATGTCTTGGCCACAGAGTGGTTATAAAGTGGAAAATAAGTACTATTTTTACTGTTTTTATGAGTGAAGGCTGGAAAAGATACTTGTTAAAGCAGCTACAACTATGAAAGAGGCCATATTTGATTTTCAAATTGTCAAATTGTTTTTATGATTACAGTTCAATAATGCAAACTATTATCAAAAGAATGTGAAGATAAAATCTGTTTACAGCAAGTCATCATAGATCATTCTGTATAAAAGAAAGTTCTTTTCTTATGTTAGCCTGACTGCAGTAACAGAATTTCTTTATACAGTTGCATTTGGTAATGTCAAAATATGAAATCCAGTTCCACAGTGATCATTTTGGTGTTTATCCATGTAATTATCCCTCTTCTGTAATGACAGGCCATCAGATTCCATGCTGCTTGCACAGCTACTCTCACTTTTTAACTTACTAAGAATGAGAGAAAGCTGATAAAAATCTGCTTTCCTTAAATGACTGTCTGTTTTCCTATTTTTAAATTAAATGAGATAATGTATGGTTATGTCCTTATCTGGCTAAATGAATAATAATAAAATCTCAACAAGCATACATTTATTAATAATATTTAGAAATTATTTTCAGCTCCCTATCTTAAACTTAGAATTTTTATTTCAGAACTGGAAATTAGGAATTACGTGAATCCCTCTTTTTAACATTGGAGGAAACTGTAGCATAAGGAAGGTGGCTGATTCAACCAGTATAAGTGAACTAGTTAGCAGGATATCTAGGGACAGGCTCTAAGGGCCTTGTTTAGAGAACACCGCTTGCTTGTCACCTTACTGTCAATCCATAACTAGGTAAATTTTTATTT